TCTTTTTCACTATCATGATGATGATTATTATTATTATTATTAACACTAAAACACCTAATTTTACTAAAATTACAAGCCTCTCTCTTTGAAATTCCTCCTTTACACGAAAAGCATAAAGCGCTCTGCTTCTTCCATTTCTTGAGCTGAGTTCTGTCCCTGAAATCTTTGACTATAAGATCTGAACACAGCTTCAAATTCACTGTGCTAAAACTAGAGCTCGTCAGAGTTCCCATCCAATTTTTCTTTTTTCGAAAAAAAAAAACTTCAAAATTTTCAGATTAATTTATGTGTTTTTTGGATTTGGATTTTGTTATCAGACAAGATAGGGCAGAAAAAAAAGAGTTTTTCTTTCTCTCCTCTTATTGGGTTTTTAAAAATATTTTTTTAATTTTCATTTATATATATTTAATTCACGTTTTTTGTTTCTTGGTTTGGATAAATATCAAACGTCCAATTTTGGGTTTCAGTTTATGAGTACTTGCCCTTCTCATGGGCTGGGCCGGCCGGCAGATGATGCAACTTGTGCGAGTTGGTCTGTTTGGAGAAATATTTTAATTTATTTTTACTTAAAAATAAATTATAATATTTTTTTAAAAAAAATTATTTTTCCACAAGTACATTAAAATTTTCAAAAACATTAAAAACAAATTAAAATTCAAAACTTCGACCATTCCTTCCGAGTTTAATTATTAGTTCAATTGTATGAACATGAATTTCAATTTAAATCCAAGAGCATGATAGTTTGCAATTTTGTCTTGCTCGTTGAACGAGTTTTGATATGTTGAAGTTCAGCTATGGCAACTGCTCGAGGTTTTTTGTAGCTTTGCTTCTCCACTACTGACTTTCTCGTTCCTAATTCAGGAAAAAAAGAAGAAGAGCAGGGAAAATAGTAGCTGCAAAACCTTGCGAGACCATCTTATGTATGCATCGCATGAAACCTGAAGTATATATGTTGGAAATAGCAAGCTAGTTCTACTTGAGTTGTAGCCTGCTGCAAATGCATTTTTGTTGCTGCTTTTTGAGTTCAGTTTACTGCCATTTAGTATCTACTACGATTAGATTATTTCGCGCTTGTTCTTCATTATTAGCCTGTAATCTCCTTTTTTAAGGGTTATACGTTTAGATTATTTCTGCTGCAAATGCATTTTTGTTGCTGCCTTTTGCGTTCAGTTTACTGCCATTTAGTTTCTACTACGATTAGATTATTTCGCGCTTGTTCTTCATCATTAGCCTGTAATCTCCTTTTTTAAGGGTTATACGATTAGATTATTTCTGCTGCAAATGCATTTTTGTTGCTGCTTTTTGCGTTCAGTTTACTGCCATTTAGTTTCTACTAGGATTAGATTATTTCGCGCTTGTTCTTCATTATTAGCCTGTAATCTCCATTTTTAAGGCTTATACGAGCATTATTCTGATCAAAAAAGAGAAAAAAAAAAGGAGAAGGCGAGGTTCAAAATTAATAGCTTTGTGGTTATGTTCTTGCAGTTTTATTTTTGTCTCTCTTTCTTTGGCTTATGTAAGACACAAGTTGAAACCATCATTTGGTACGACTTCATGTGTCTGTATTGATGAAGGAGAATTATGGAAAATGGTGCATCCTATTTGGTTCACAGGATCTGTGGGAGATAGTCAATGACGGCTATGCTGATCCCATGGCTGAGTAAGAAGACAGGTACGCTCTAGAGAAAAAGAACGCTCTCAATGATCAGTGAAAGGAGGAAAAGAAAGCCTTGTCTCTTCTGTATCAAGGCTTGGAGTGCTATAATTGTGAGACAGTTTCAGATGCTGCAACAGGCAAGGAATGCGGGACAAGCTAGGTGTGATCTATAAAGGAGTTGAACGTGTGAAGAAGCTACGTTTGCAGAAATTAAGAGAGGAGTCTGAAACAACTCGCATGAAAGGAGAAGCTGTGTCAGGCATCAGTACAGGTTGACTGGCATTGTCAATCGAAAGTGAAGAAATGGAGAAAAGGTTGATGATGGTAATTTAATCGAGAAGATGATGCGATCACTTTCTTCAAGATTTGAACATATAGTTACAGCAACAGAGGAGTCAAAGCCTTGAAGACCATGAGCATATCTGAGGGGTTGCTGGGGTCCTAGCTACGGGTTCCTGATCAGTTATTCAGTTAATGCATATGAAGGAATGACAATTTATCAGCTATTGAGCAAGCTCTACAATCAAAGCTTGTTTTTGAAAACAACAGTGGAGGACAAGGAAGAGGACGTGGTGCCTGGTTTCATTGAATAGTGATACAGAAGACGTGGAGGATTCATGCAAGGTATATGGACTCAGGATCAAATAACCGTGTGTATTTTCTGAACTACAAGGAAATTCTTGCAGCAGGAGGAGTTTGAGGCTGCTAGGGAAGGAAACATGGCAATATATCAGAAAGATGGGCGGCTGTTATCCACATGGAAGGGGTCTGTCTGTCTTGAACTAAGAAGTGCATGAAGGAAGGAGTTTAGTTGAAGTGGTCAGGTTATTGGTTTGCTTTTTTAAAAATTAAAGTTTATATAATTCTAACTTTTAAATTTAAAAAATTAATCGAGATAAATATAAGTTAACTCGTACACTAATTATTAAAAAAAAAAAAAAGATAAAAAAGAAAGAAAGGAGACTTAGGTTTCTTTTACATCCATGCACACAACCTGTATTACTACCTTGCCATGCACTTAAAAGATGAAGCTGCAAGATGGCATCCATGTTTTGGCCATCTCTATTTCCATGGACTGAACTGAAGTCATGGTCTATAAAAAGATTGGTAAAGGGGCTGCCAAACATGAAAGAACCAGAACAGGTATATGTCACCTTCCCAAGCACAAGAATATTTTTCCACTGGAATTTTATGAAGAGCAACAGTTTTTTTATTTTTTTTTAATTTTATCTTTTAATTAAAAACACAATTTATTTTGTATTTTAATTTTAAATCTTATTTAATTGTTATTTTTTATTTTGAATTTTTTTTTGTGTAATTAGTATTTTTTTTCTGAGTTAATCCTTCACTGTTAAATTAGTTGAGAATTGAGTTTCATAATTTTTTTTAATAGGATGTTTAGAGTCTAATGCCCCAGATTTCAAATTTAAAAAGTTAATGTGAACTAATATTTTAAAAAAACTTATTTTCTTTTCAGTTTTATGTTTTTTTTACGTTTTCTTTTCTACCAAGTTATTTCAATATTATAATTTGGATTGTTGGTTTGACGAATTAACATAGGTTGGCTTGTCTCTTATCTCTTATGTTACAAGTTTGTTATACTAACTTAGATTAACTATTTTTTTTACCTAAATTTTCCCTTCTATATTTAATGGACTAATAATTAAGCTCTATTGTATGTTCCCTTTTATAAAAATATTATTTTTTTCCTAAGTTATCATTATTTTTTTTAATTTGGTCCATTATTGATGTTATCTTTTTTTTTTATCATCTAATTAAAATAAAATTAATTTCTTTAATCCAATCCAATAATTATAATTTTTTTTTAAATATTTACATTATCTAAATATTATTTTTAACACAAAAAAGATCTTGCAATATAGCGCGGTTACACGTCTAAGATCACCTATATAGGGTGTTTAGAAGTGTGATAATGATTGTTTTTTAAAGTAATTTTCATTCCAAAACATATTAAAATATTATTTTTTAAATTTTTTAAAATTATTTTTTGACATCAGTACATCAAAATAATATAAAAACATAAAAAATATATTAATTTAAAGCAAAAAAATTAAAAAATTAAAAATTCTTAAAAGCACTTTTCAACCGCAACACTAAACATTGCCTAATCACTTTCAATGATTTTCTCTTTTGGTTGGATTGTTCTTGGTTGCCATTATGTTATTATTGGTAATTGTTAGAGGATAAGTAAAAAACTTGAAAAACTAATCAAACAGAGAAAATAAAAAAATAACTGAAAAAATCGAATAGTGAAAAAAACCGATTATAATATTTAAAAAACCAACCAGTTCAGTTTGATATTTGTTTAATAAGCCTGAACTGAAAAAACTGAATCAAATCAAGCCAAACCGAACTGAAAAACCAAGCCAAACTGAAAAAAATTGAGTCAAACTAGAAAAAATTGAGTCAAATCAAAATCAAACCGATTGAAATTTAAAAAAAAATCCCAAAAAAACAATCTAGTTTTTGATTTTTAATATAAAATAACCGAATCAATCTAAACCAAGAATTAATTGATTGGGTTTTAGCTTTTTTCCTAAAATAACCAAAACCAATTATTTTGAACTAATTTCATTTTGGTTTAGGTTTTTTTTTTAAAAAAAATTTAATTATTTTTTTAAATAAAAACTAAATCAAATTGAAAATAATCACCTTTAATGATTTTCTAGACTTGGTGGTTTTTCATAGACAGAAAGGAAGATAATGGAGACGTGGGCAATAAAAATAATTTTAAAATTAAATTTTTATTATTAATTCTAAATTTAATTACAAAAAATGTGTAGTATTTATCGAATAAATTCAAGTTGTGACACGGTTATTAAAATATTTTGAAAAGTGTTTTAAAATGATTGTTTTTAAAGTAATTTTAATTTAAAAATATAGTAAAATAATATTTTTTAGTTTTTAAAAATTATTTATAATATTAATATATCAAAATAGTATTAAAATATTAAAAAATATTAATTAAAAAATAAAACAATTTTAAATTTTTTAAAAATTAAAACATAAAAACAAACACAAAACAGTTTCGCGAAAGGAAGGTCCAATACGATTTGATAATTTGATGACTGGACATTAGTCCCGAAGAGAGCATCCATGCTTGGCAACGACGCCACCACGCATAAAAAAATAAATAAAAAACACGACGCCAACACGCAAATAATTAAAACACAAAACGCGGCGTAGAAGAACATACAAGTGACAAATACAACAAGGCAACTGCCTGATTCAGAGCGCGCTCTCACTGCCTTTGTTTCTTCTTTTTCCCCTAACTAATAATATTTCACCTAAATAACAGAGCGACAGGGAGAGAGAGAGAGAGAGAGAGAGAGAGAGAGAGAGAGCAGCAATGGGTTCCTCGTCTCCTTCTCCTTCTCTTCTGCTTCTTTTCTCTTTGGTATTTGCCTCCTCTCTGTTCCTCTCACGTGCCACTCACGAGACCACTCTCAAAGGTACTGCTGACTTCTGATGTCTCCTCCCTTTTATTTTGCTCGCTTCTTGATTGATTGCTGTGATCTGTCGTGGTGTAGTGCTCTTTTTGGTTTTGGACAAACAACGTTTGGAAATAAAAATGCATGTAATTGTGGGGTCTTTTTTTTTTTTTAAAAAAGAAAGTTTTTGGAGCTAAGGTGCTGGCAATTGAAATCTATACAGTATATTAATTTCTTTTCTCTTCGGCGTTGATGGGTTTGTTAGGGCTTTATTTTTTGGTTGTGTAGTGTAGTGAAGTGAAAATAATTATTCTAACAAAAATCTGTAGATTATTTATGGGGTTTTGCTAAAATCGCTACAGGTAGGCGCTCTTGGTATTATATGTTGGGTTTGATGTATATAAAATCGTTTGCCTTTGATAAGGAACGTTGCTTGTTGTAGCTGAATAGGTGTCTTTTCTTTTGAGTTTTGCAAGGTTTAATGGAGATTCGAAGTTTCTTGATATCGTAAACTTGAAACAAATCTTTTCTTGGGGCTGTTTTCTTCCTTTCTACTCTTGAATCTTAGACATGGTTTGAAATCGAGGGTCTGTTTAAGTAGTTATAGTATGCCGTAGTGCTGTTTGGTTGATTTATGTTTTTCTTCATGTGATTGAGAGCATTTGTTTGAAGTCTTAAATCTTCTCATGTACTTTGAGTGATTCGTTTTTTTCAACTTTGAATGATTCGTTTTTTTCTACTTTGAATGATTGATAATTAATAATGCCTTATACAATTACAGGCATTGACGCCGAGAATCCAGCTGTAGATGTCACTCTTAGCCATGATGGTTCTAAAGATGCTTTCTCTTGTGAACGAGTTAAAGTTTCTGGTCACTTGAGATGGAAACTCAGTAGGTATGCTAGCTCATTTCGAGTTACTCTGGCTCCGTCTGCACCAATCCCAGAGAGATTGCATAGCAATATTCAGGTTTGCTTTCACCGGTAAGTGAATTTCTTGCCTCTTTTTTTTTTTTGCTCTCTCAATTTTATAATGAAAATTTTATGTCTCATCCATGGAGCATTTCCAGGAATGCTTCCCTTGGATTATGCCAGTGCAAAGAGGATGATTGGAGAATTGTTCAGAATGGGCTGTGGACATCTGTCATGTCTCCTTATGAGGAGAGATATGTTGATGTAAAGTTCATTGGTCATACTTCTGGATCCGTCTCAATTGCTGTTGATGAAGGTTTGGCTCCCCTTGTTCCCTGTTGTGTTTGGTCTTGCACACTGGATTTGAATTCCTTTATTGACACTGATTAATTGATGTTAGTGCAGATTTACAGCAATGGCGACTCATGTGTCTAGCAGTTGGATTTGTTTTACTATTGCTGGCACCGATAGTCAGCAGCTGGGTTCCCTTTTATTATAGCACTTCAATGGCTATTGGGGTTTTTCTTGTCATTATAATCCTCCTTTTTCAGGTCTGTAAGTTTGGTTTTGTTGCTTTCAGATCTTCCTCCCCCTTCTTCAATTTTCCTCTTTTCCAACACCAGTATCACCAAATTGGTTTGAAATGCAGATCCAAAAGTTTTCGATAAAAAATTCAGAGCATTGATGTTATTTGCTTATTTGAATTTTTGGCTAAGATCCAGCATGTGCCAATATGTGCCTGATTGAGTTGTAAATACCTAGTGATAGATATGGAGCTCTTTTATGTCCCAAACATCTTTTCTTCATGTAAGGGGCTGGACTGCATTCAGTCTGAGTTGAAACTAGAGAAAATTTACCATCCTTGTGTGGATTGTTCTACTCAACATGCACCAAACCTAATGGGGCCTGTACACCTAGAGCTTATAATGGAAGGGGATTGCCATTATACTTTGTTAGCTGAGCCAGCTGTTTTTAGGGACTCTGGTTGTAGGTAACTGCATTTTCACACATGGTGCAGTGTGCAACCTGCTTGTGACAGAATGGATTATTAATGGCATTCTCATGAATTTTCAAAATCAAATTCCCTAGACTATTCTTCAATTTATAATTTTGTTATTTCATGTCACTTATTTTTAGGTTTTTGTCATCAACATATAATGTCCAAAAAGGATTTGCTCTAGATCTTTTAAGCTCCATGGCCAGTTTCTGTGCCTCAATCTATTCGTTGAAATAAAGTTGGAAGCTTCAATATAACATTTTTTTTTTGGCAATAAAACAACATTTTATAATGATGTTTAGGCATATAATTTTCAAATAGCAAAACTTTGATGTTAGTTTTGTTATAAATTATTTTGTTTTATTCTGATCTTATTAAGAATGTATCTGAATATTAATATGCTTTCAATATTTGCAAATTTCTATTCAATGCCTGCAATTTTGTGATTAAGAATTTCATCTTAGCTTTTCAGTTCATTATTGTGCAGACAGACTTACTATGTTTATCTTTGTTTTAATGTTGCAGGGAATGAAATTGCTGCCAACTGGAAGGAAGAATTTTTTTTATCTTTCCATATATGGATCAGTGGTGAGTTTGCTTTTACTTTAGCTTTAAGTTCCAGTATCTTCTTATTATTTCCCCACACTTACTTCCATTTTTTAGATAATGTTCTTTTTTCTTTTATCTAAGATGCATAACTCTCTTTATCTATTCTGTTGCAGCTTGGAGCTGGCACTTTTATTTTACATCAAATTTCAACACTGGTAAATTCGATTCTAGTAAACTTCGGGCTGACTGAAGACATGCACAATCCTGTAAGTCTTTCTCTACATAGATTTTTATGCAGATTTTTGTAGAGTACTTGCAGTTACAGGTTCAAGGGAATCAATGTTCTAGAGCCAGTCCTGCAACTAACTCTCATCTCATCTTCCCAGCACTTCCATATTGATACTGCATTAATATGTAGACACAAGTAGTTTTTCTTTTTTCCTTTTTTTTGGGGTACCTTAAGCCATCATCCACAAAATACATTCTATGTTCTCATAGGCTTCTCAAGACACACATTGGCATTACTTTCCTGTTTGACAAATGTGATTTATTCTGGTAATAGTTGAAAGTTTAAATAAGAGCAATGTATTTTTTACTTAATTCAGAATCCCTCTCTCTCAAAGCACTTTTACAAAAGGAAAGGAGGAAAGAGCCAATTGTGTGCATGTGATTCTTTTTTACAATGTTATTCCTCACATGAAATTTATTCTCTATTTGCTTCTTTTAAAGCATTATGTTTTGACCTTTCCCTATTTCACTACAGGTTTACATATTTATACTAGTAGGGATTGTTCTCACAGGAGCTGGTTTAGGGTTCTGGATGGTGAGGAAATTTGTAATCTCAAAGGATGGAAATGTGGATGATGGTGTAGCACAGTTTGTTAAATGGGCAATGCGCATTATTGCATCCACCTTCATTTTACAGGTAAGACACCCGTTCGTGTTAATTCCATTGCTTGATATTGAATGAAAAGAAGATTTCTAAAGTTGTTTGAGTGCCTCAAAATTAAAGAATTATTATACAGCTGCAGCATTTTAGTGACGTGCTCCATTTTACATTTTCACATGAATATAAGTAGCACACCTTGTAATCATGCACATAGTTATAAGTAGCACACGAAGTTCACCAATTCACAATGAATACCCTCCTTTTGGTGCATGGATATTTTTCTCAATCCCGCCAAATATACATGATGTTACCTGTTAAGTCATGTTTGTATTAGTTCTGTTTAGGGATAAAAATAAAATAAAATTGGGGATAGAGGTTCCTTATGGCATGGATATAGAAAAGCTTTGTAATTGGTTTAGATAGAATTGAAGATCTGTTATTAAAAAACAGAAGGATCGTAATCATGCATATATCATCAGGGGGGAATTTTTTGGGAAAGATAGAGGTTACTGCAGGGCCAATGATGCGTGCTTTAATCAGCTAACAAAATTTGCTACCTATTTAAAGGTATCCAGTTCTCTTTTTGACAAGAGAAAGTTAGAGAATGATAATTGGTTTTCTCTGACTTGCTTCTATGGTATGATATTTATCAATTTATTTCTATTATTGGACAGAATCTTATATAGGACTAGGTAATTCCTGATTCGATGTTGTTTGATGTTAGCCAGCCATTTGAATTGTGTTAGATAAATTAAAGTAGGTCTGGGGTTGTGTACTTGTGTTGGCTTAAAGGGGAGCTTTTCTGTTCACAGTGATATGCCTTGTGCTGATTTAATTCCACTGTGGCCAGTTCACCTTAGTTTCAGCCCTGTGAAGGCAATTTTGTTATCCTTCCAGTATTTGTGCCATAGTTGTGATGCAGGACAGAATTTAAGAGATGTAACAGAAAGAAGGAAGAAGCTAAGAAGAAGCCAAAGAAAGATAAAAAAAACTAAAGAAGAGAAGAGAAAGGGAGGAGGTGAAGTCTGCACCTTTACAACTTTTAATAATTCATTATAAAACTGATTGCAACGTCAAAAATTATGTTAATAGTAAAACCCTAAAACAACCAACAATTAGGCCAACGGCCCACTAAACTAGATTGAAATCCAAAATAGAATAACATCAAACCTTACAATAAAACTCAAAAGTCCAAATAAATTAAACCCAATAACATAGGCTAAAGCCCAATCTCCCAACCAAAGAACAAGAAGTTGGGCTACCCTTCATTGTCTATGCTCATACGGGTGTGTGAACCTTGTCTTGTGTCTGGTATCCCTTTCAAGTTGTTCTCTTATGTGCACTCCAGAGTCCATGTAGTATAGACTTGACTTTTTATGAAATGTGTCATCATATTTCACTGCCTTAGGCAGTACATACGGTCATTCTGTTACACTCTTCTTGTGCGCTACTAGTTAAGCTTTTTTCTTCTGAACTAATTTTCTTGTAGTTATTTTAAGAACAAATTTTGTTTTGACAGCATATTTTGAGTGACTGCTGTATGACCAGTTTTTCTTGCTTTCCTTTTCTTTCTCAGAGCACTCTTGATACTCCTTTAGCATTGGGCGCCTTGCTTTCTTCTTGTGCAATCTGCTCTGTTACTTTGAAGTGGTGGTATCAAAGGTAAGCTCTGTAATTTTCACTTCTCTCCTGTTGTTTAAGAGTACTGTTGTTTTGAAGTAGTTGCATTCAGTTAAAAGGGTGGTAATTCTGTATCAAATTAGTATCTGGGATTGAAACCAAATTAATGATCTTGTGAATAATGCGTAGTAACTTATCTAGATTGTGCATCACAATGGTCTTAAGAAAAATTAATTGGATGGGTGGTTGTCATGATCCTTGTTTATGAAGTTTAATGAACAGATGTGGAAGTTGACCAATGTCATCCTGACACCCTATAGTAAAGCATTGACATTGTTAGAAAACAAAGGTGAAGTTGGACACCCTATCGTAGAGCATTGGCATTATTAGAAAACAAAGGTGAAGCTGGACTCATTTCAGATGGTATAACAAGATTGGATTAGTGTCTGTTTGCTAAGTGCTTCTGAAAGACTTGATTTTTTGTATGTGTTCTAAATATTTCACTTCATGTATTTTTAGATCAGTATATAACTTCAGCACCCAAATATGATTTAATACAGGGATCAATCAGATTCTGGGGGTGGGAGTGCTTGGCTCCAGCCTGCAGGACAGACAACAGCAAGATTTCGACGCGCTGAATTCCTTAGTAGGTCAGGAAAAATGAGTCCCCAGGGGAAGATGTGGAACAGTCCAGAAAGCTCATCTGCTTGGACCCGCTCTCCTGTTAAAGGTAAGTATTACGGACCATGATACCTTGGCATGATTTTGTCATAGAAACTGGGAACACATTAAATATGGGCCATTGGATTATAATCTTTTTGTTTATTTTGTCCTTATCCCACAAGTTCGATTTAGCTCTAGGCTCTGGTACTAAACATGAAAATATCCCTAAACAAACAAGTTACATGAATAGGACCAAATCAGATTCAAATCTGAAATGAAAATGTTCAATTGAGAAAATTTGATTCAATGAATAAGAGATCCAAAATATACGAACCTATTTAGAAAAAAACTTGATTATGATTAGGTGTTGATATAATTATCCAATTAACACAAACAAAATTGAACGTCAACATTTGTATCTGCTTCTTTTTCCAGTTTTGAAAATTCATGAGTTAATTGCGCACTTTATAAATTAACAACCAAACTATTTTAAGAGTTACATAAATATTAAAACCTACAAGGGAAAAATGGGAAAAAAAAAGATTCTATTATTTTTGTTTGGTTTGGGACCTAATCACACAATCACAGAAATTAGGGATCAATACATAAATTGACATTTCTGTTGTGGGTTTGTGTTAAGGGTGTGTCACTGGATATTTCCTTGGTTTATTTTACTTATTTTCTTGTTTTTACTTTTATGTTTGTTTTTCTGGTTCCGCATTTATTTTGCTGCTATTAACCAGCTCATTGGCAGTTTGATGAACACGTCTCATGTATGTGCTAGTTCTTGCATTATGCATTTTTCTTTACCTAAGCAAAAACTGAGATTTTTCTTCTTTTTCCTAAAAAATTTCCGCCATTATGTGCAATTGAAATCATCCATTCTAACACTTCCCTTGCCCATCCTAAAATATTAAGTAAGAGAACTGGCTCTTGACTCATATCATTGCATTATGTTATAAATGTGTCCCCTGTGGGTTTCATCAACATCTAGAGTTTCCTTGCCTAAAGTAACTGGAAATTCAACATCTAGAGTTTCCTTGCCTAATGATAACCAGAGATTCCCAATGACTATGGTGTTGAGATTTTTTTTTTTTTTTTTTGGGGGGGGGGGGGGGGGGGGAATCTGGTTATTTACTTTACTTGGACAGAATGTTCAGTATCACTGATCTGTTCACATTCCTTGCTACACCAAGTATATAATTTCTATTTCCATTTCTTGAAAGGAATTTAAAGTAACAAATTCAGATGCTTCCGAGGCAATATTTTTGTGCCTCTAATTTGGATGATATGTAGATTCATTTGTCTTGTATGGTCGTTCTTTATCTAATGTTTTTGGATCATTTAACAAGGTACTGGATCTGTCATTTATCAACCATCCAGTATAGAGTGATTTGCTTTTCTTGGCATTGGCAGGTGTGGTATCACCATCTTCTCACTTGGCAACAGTAGATAAGCAGGATTACTATTCAACCTTCCACAAAAATCTAAAACGAAAGTTCACAAAGAAACAGTGGGAGGATTTCACCAGGGAATCGACACATGAAGCCGTAATGGAATGGGCAGCATCACCTGAAGTCACCAATTGGATCATTAACAATGCTGACCGTATTCAACTCCTTCCAAGCAATTATGGTTCTGAAGAAATGGTGGGAAGTGAATCAGACTCCACAGATGCGTCTGTTGCCGGGAGTGGCAAACCATTTAGCCTTTTGAATTGGTAGAGACTGGACTAGAAAAGTTATAGTAGCAGTCAGGGATCTGCTCCTTAGATTTTGTAGAGGGGTGGCAATAGTTTAGGAATCTAGTTCGCTGCACCATCAAGCAATACCAAAAAGCCGAATGACATGTTTTTTTCTAGGATTAGCTAACCATTTGATTAGCTGTATGTTTTCAGAATTTAATCAATGTAATAACCAAAAGATATGCAAGCTAGTTCTGTAAGTATAAAACTACAGTTCGGTACAGAATGGAATGCTATCGTTAGTTCTTGATTATTTATTCTCGAAGTGTCATCTTGGCGAAGACAAAATGTTAAAGTAAACAAATACCTTGAAACAGAGATTTGTTGGTTTTTGTAAGTTGTTTGCTAAGGAACTGCGTTATCTTCCTTGTCTAGTTTCCCATAATAGACTAAGATATTATGTTCACTAGTTTGCTGAGTGAATCTGGAAGTGTTTACTAGGAAAAGTTTTAAGGCCAAAAGTTATCTTGTTTGTTTGATGTTATGATTTTTTTTTTTAATCATTCTTTATTTTTATATCTATTTTGTATTTTATTTTGATAAAAAAATTATTTATATGAGAAATTGTTAAAGGGTGAATCAAAAGTTGTTTTATTAAAATTTTATTTGAAATAGTTGTTTAATTTCAAACAAAAAGTTGTATTATTTTTATTTAAAAAGTTATGTTAAAATTAATTGTCAAAATTGTCTATATAAAAAAAAAAAACAATTCTGATATGGTTTTGATAATGGAGAAAATTTCTAATATTTCTAAAACTTATTTTTTTAACATAATTTTAGTCAAAATTATTATAGTGACATAAATTTTGATTTGCTATTTATTCTTGGTTTTTACTACCAAGAATAAAAGATTGAGTAAGCCTGAAAAATAATATTATTTTAAGGCTAGAGAATTGATCTTTGTCTCAATCTATTTTTTCAAGTTTATTTTCTATCAACAAGTATATCTTTTAATTGTTAATTTATATGCTTATTTTATATTTTATAAAAATCACGTCATCATAGCAAAGAAGAATGACAATCTTAGAAACTATTTAAAGGTTTCCAAAACAAATTTAAATTAAATTACATGATTCAAAAAAACCAAAAAAAAAATTCTACTATGATGAATTTAACAAAAGCCAACAAAAGATCCTTCTCTTTAATATATAGAAAAAAAAAGTCCCTTTATTATCAAAAAAAATATTTTATCTTGTAAAAAAGCAAAGAAAAACAAAAAATTTATTAGTATTTTTAGAATAATAAAGTATCTCAAATCTTCTTTCAAGTTATTCTAACCTTTTACCCCTAATAATTAATAAATAATAATTTTTTCCCTTCTTATTTCAAAGGACCCACCACAACCACTATCATTATAAAAGTTATATCTCTTCTTGTAAATTTAATTTTTTTATATTTCATGTTTCAATCAATTTTCTCTTAGATTCACAGTATTATAACATTTCTTGTTTTCTTCAACCCACCTCCCCATCACTACCATGCGCATCCCCAATCTTCTCTTTGTCTATAACAAAAATAGTAAATGGATCCTATAAATTTATAATTCAAGGCTACTATTAACCAAAGAAATTAGTGTAGGGAAACACATAACTAGCTAGACTTTCACTATTATTGATTATGAATGTGTTATTTATTTCTACCTAGACAATTCTTTTTATGTCTTTATTTTTATTGATCTTTCTATAGAAAATAGTAATGTTCATGTCCTTTTTGACATTACCTTGGTTGATCATAATGGTAAAGAAAAACATAAAGTTTATAATTACTTCAATTATTCACTAGAGGGTGGCTACACACCATTAAGTATCATGACAACATGTGGTAAAGGAATTTTAGGGTTTTTATTTATAGTTTTTAGTTGTTAGGGAATTAGAATTAACCATTTTTATTGCTAATATAAGATATGGATTCGAGTTTCCCTCAATAGATTAGTTAGTGAGGGGTATATTTCTGAGCTATAAAATATAACATAATCAATTTAGTTTTTGATAAATTCATGATGTATTTTGGATATTTAAGAATTGTTTTGAACTAAAAGAATGCAAGGGAAGGGAATAAAAATGTTGTTTGGCTTTTTATCTTTTAACATTATCCAAACAATACCTTAACAAACATATTTTAAGGAAAACTTAAGTCCATAATAGGTAAAAAAGAAGAATGGGTTGTTGTAAAATATATTGGATTAATTTTTCTATCAAGTGAATACGAGAAATGAAAGTGTTTTTCTAATGAGAGAGTACCATTAACAAGCTATAATACCTTACCTTCCTTAACAAATGCATAAAATTTTTTATGTATCCAATTATAATATAGCCAAAACTAATACAATTTTATGCTTTTAGAAAATAAGTTTCCTTTGAAGTGATGTATATAGAGTACACATATTCTTTGTCTTGCCTTACTTCCCATCCTTCTCATGATTTGATTTTTTTTTTATACCTTTAAATATGGTTATGTTTCTATTAAATGAGCTAGGATAATTCAATATTTAGTGTGATAAGAAGAATTCAAAGACAACAAGGACATTAAAGATGAGGATATAGAAGAGAAAACAAAATATAAATATAAATATAATCATCATTGGATATGGAAGAGCAAAGAAAAGATTTTAGACTTGTAACTATTAGGTTGATTTTAGACTTGTAACTACTAGGTTCATTATATGTAATAGTAGGCATGTATCTACTAATTTTTGCTCTCTTGAAAAATAAGGAAGTTCTCCTTTTCTTTTAGTTTTTTTATTATTCCAAAGAACATCATTGTCAATTCTCCTTCATTGTCTTTTTCTCTAACACTTTTTTTCTTAATTTGAGGTAAATATCAATTTTTATACATGTCAGAATATGCAAACGATAAATTATTCATAACCTCTTGATGTTGCATGGTTATAAGAGTAAAATGGAGCTATAAATGCATTACTAAGAGAATACTTATATATTTTTTTTCAATGATAAAATAGCATAAAATTAGTGGGTATAATGAGATAATATGATAAATACCTAAAAAAGTAAACACTAGTTATATTCTAGTTTGTCTAACCATTCAACATAACATAAAGATTGACTTTACATATAAGTGCACTTCATCTCTTCTTTCTCCCTCTCGTCTTAAGTGTTTTTCTAAACATTATTTCTTTATGGTCTTTTCATATACAATTTATGGTTGCAAGGAGGTGAAAAGTTAAGAAATGATATTAGTAATATTAAGGGTAGCATATTAATAACATAGTGAACTTGAAGATTTAAGATATATTATAGAGGACTAGAAAGTGGAATATGTGAACTAAAGCTACTATACCAAGCTGCAATGGGGATATAAATGCTTATTTGGTTGATCTTAATGGTCTTCGTTATGGAATCAAAAATATTAAACAACAATTGACTTTTTATTAATAGAGGCTCATGAAAATGGAGTTTATGCTGGTTAGTACTCAAATAAAGGTGTCGAGGGTGCAAGATTTTATGAATAATGATGAAGAATTTCATATTGTGTATGGAAATACCTATGCCTTTAAAGATTATATGGATGATAAATTGGTAGGTTTAATGGGGGATTTTTATTTTGACAACATATCCAAGAATAATAATATAAATTTTACTCGAGTTTTCCATCTCAACAATGTTCCCTATTTTGATGAGTTTTTCCTCAGATATACAAAGGTTGTTGTTTACAGAGGATACCTTTTTTTGGAGCCCAATAAAGAGAAGGATGAAGCTCACACACAAACACACACACTGATGTTTTTCTTATGCTTATGTTTATTTGATTACACTTGAAACATTTATTAAAATAAAATGGACTATTTTGATAAGATAAACTATCTTTCTTGTGACATTTTTGTTATGAAAAATTTTATTATTACTTAATAGACAATGGTATGAAGTTATTAAATATGGAGACACATGGAGATAAAACTAGGAATAAAAAGTAATGGAGATATGGATTAACTCTCTTTAATTCATTTATGTAAGGAGTACAAACAAGTCATTAGAAAAACATATTTAGGTAATCAAATTGCTAGAAATGAGAGAAAGTCTTTCTCTTTTCATCTTATAGATGGTAGGTGTTGACTTTGATCACTTTTACTACCTTGAAATTACCATCTCATTTAGGAGTCAATTTCTTCCTTTTGTTTTTATATCATAATGATTTGGGCTAATGAAGTGGATTGTAAGGAGGCCATTATGGCTAGGTTTTGTAACGGGTTAATTTGCAAGGTTGCGAATGTTATGAATTTGCAACACGATGTAGCACTACCACCATTCATTCTGAACACTTTTTTGTTTTTTTGTCTTAAAAGCTTAATTCGATGAGAGATGGGGCTACCCAAGTTCAAGCTACTATAAGAGGGGATTTTAAGACTTCTAAAAAGAAGAAGTACACACTTGCGAATGGTAAAAGTAAAGTTGACACTTCTACTTCTCGTAGTCATGACATTAAATGTTATCATTATTTGAGTTTTTGTCATATTGTCCATACAAGCCATAGTTATAAGAGCTCATGATGAGATTGATTATAAAGAGAAGGATAATGTTAAGATAAAGATGCCATTATTAGTGGATGCTAGTGATAAGTGTATTAAATATCTTATTGAGAGGGAGGTGTTTAGAGTGAAATGAGCATTTAATATGAATGTAAAGATGAGATGCTTGGAAAAGCAAGAGGAAAACATCTTCCATATGAGGTGTTATATGTAGAATAAGGTATGAAGCTTGATCATTGACAATGATCATTACACTAATATAATTAGTATAGATTTGATGGATAAATTGAATTTGCAAACTACTAAACATCTTGTTCCTTATAAATTGCGATGATTACCTTATTGTGAAAAGGTTAAGGTGCATATACAGGTTCTTAGATCTTTTTCCATTGGAAAATGCTGTGATGAAGTGTTATATGATGTAGTTTTTATGTATGTTAGTCACTTATTATTGGGTAGGCCTTGACAATGTGATCAAAAAACTATACATAATGGATTTCAGAACAAATTTTGGTTTGTGAAGGATGAGAAATCTATAGTTCCTATTTCTTTATATCCTAAGCAAGTTTATAAGGATAAGTTGAAACTTAGAGAAGATAAAACGGCTGGAAAAGAGAGTTTATATATGAAAGAGATGATTATTTAGAACATATTCTTTGTTGATAGGGTTTTACAGGGTTTTAATGATTACATATTATTTCAGCCTCGTAATAATGATATGTTTTGATAAGTTGGCGCGAAACAAATATAATCATATCAAATTTAGCCAAACTAATATTTTTGGTGTGTAATTTTTTTTTTAATCTAAGAAGAATAATAATAATGAAAATAAACAAGAAATCATGTA